GAATTATTTTCCAACTGCAACCTCTTCTCAATAAAGGAAATGTAACCTTGTCGATGAACCTTTGCAACCTCTTCTCAATGATGAATTATTTTCCAACTGCAACCTCTTCTCAATAAAGGAAATGCCGTAACCTTGTCGTGATGAATTATTTTCCAACTGCAACCTCTTCTCAATAAAGGAAATGCCGTAACCTTTGTCGTGATGAATTATTTTCCAACTGCAACCTCTTCTCAATAAAATAAAGGAAATGCCGTAACCTTGTCGTGATGAATTATTTTCCAACTGCAACCTCTTCTCAATAAAGGAAATGCCGTAACCTTGTCGTGATGAATTATTTTCCAACTGCAACCTCTTCTTCTCAATAAAGGAAATGCCGTAACCTTGTCGTGATGAATTATTTTCCAACTGCAACCTCTTTCAATAAAGGAAATGCCGTAACCTTGTCGTGATGAATTATTTTCCAACTGCAACCTCTTCTCAATAAAGGAAATGCCTTGTAACCTTGTCGTAACCTTGTCGTGATGAATTATTTTCCAACTGCAACCTCTTCTCAATAAAGGAAATGCCGTAACCTTGTCGTGATGAATTATTTTCCAACAATAAAGGAAATTGCAAACAACCTCTTAACCTTGCCGTAACCTTTGTCGTGATGAATTATTTTCCAACTGCAACCTCTTCTCAATAAAGGAAATGCCGTAACCTTGTCGTGATGAATTATTTTCCAACTGCAACCTCTTCTCAATAAAGGAAATGCCGTAACCTTGTCGTGATGAATTATTTTCCAACTGCAACTTCTCAATAACCTTCGTGATGAATTATTTTCAATAGAGGAAATGCCGTAACCTTGTCGTGATGAATTATTTTCCAACTGCAACCTCTTCTCAATAAAGGAAATGCCGTAACCTTGTCGTGATGAATTATTTTCCAACTGCAACCTCTTCTCAATAAAGGAAATGCCGTAACCTTGTCGTGATGAATTATTTTCCAACTGCAACCTCTTCTCAATAAAGGAAATGCCGTAACCTTGTTTGAATTATTTTCGATGAATTAACCTTTTTTCCAACCGCAACCTCTTCTCAATAAAGGAAATGCCGTAACCTTGTCGTGATGAATTATTTTCCAACTTCCTCTTCTCAATAAAGGAAATGCCGTAACCTTGTCGTGATGAATTATTTTCCAACTGCAACCTCTTCTCAATAAAGGAAATGCCGTAACCTTGTCGTGATGAATTATTTTCCAACTGCAACCTCTTCTCAATAAAGGAAATGCCGTAACCTTTGTTGATGAATTATTTTCCACCCGACATCCTCTTCTACGGATAAAATAGCAAGCGTTTCTCACTCTATCGAAATGGCAAATGTACCTTGTCGTGATGAATTATTTTCCATGCCATAACATTTGTTATTTTCGTATTCCATTTAAAGGAAGAAGTTCCACCGGCTTTTTCCCATCTCAATAAAGGATGAATGATGAATTATTGGCAATCTTAACCTCTTCAATAAAGGAAAGGGACCTTGAATGAATTATTACATCTGAATTGCTTTTTTCTTCAATTACGAAAGAGAGTTTCATTGGGACTGTTGCTTTGATTAATAAAAAAAGACTTGCGTGAAATTTAGGCTTGTCATAAACTGACCAGAGATGATGCTTCTTTGATTTTAACCTTATTCAAACCTATTGTCAACTTTGTGTTAGTTTTCTTGAAGGACAACATATTTGGTTCGACAACCTGCATTTTCCCAGATCCCATTCGATCCATCTTAGCTCTTCAAAAATCATTGAAAGCAAGAATTCAAAACGTCGAGACAAATCTATACATTTAGTCCCCACTCAAAAAAAAAGGAGTTTGGGTGAATATTAAATCAGAAGAGGGACAATCTATAAATGCCAAATTGATGTTTTCATTACATTTTTCAAAAAATTAGAGAATATTTTTTTAAATTTGAATGTTTTATTATATATATATATATATATATATATTATATATATATATATATATATAAATATATATGTTTTGGGGTTTTGTATAACACACAGAGAGATAAAAGGAGAGGGAGGGGGAGAGAAAGCTTTTGGAGAAAAGTGAAAGGCCGAGAGAAAAAAGAGGGAGGAAGAAACAATTACAGATAGAAAGATGAGGAGAAAGAAAGAAAGAAAGAAAGAAAGAAAGAAAGAAAGAAAGGAAGAAAGATAAGAGTGCGAGACAAATTTTCACACCTAAATACGTAATTATTATTTCTTCTTAATTTGGGGTTTATTTATTCGACCTTTTTTTTGTTCGTGTTTTTATTTGCATTTTGATAGTTTTTCGGTGAAAGATCATTAATAATATTTGATGATTTAAAATTCCTTCAAACCTTCTATTATGCAATTGTCGTATTCCTTAGCCTTTTGCTTTGAAATACACTTCTGATCAAAAATTTAAGACCATTTGAATTTTTTAAAAATCTTTTTTTCATGGAAAAATTTTAAACATTTCTTACTTAAGGTTACTAATTTTATAATCTAAAGTCTTATGTAGACAAAAAGTCATAATCCGAACATTTTATTGAGAAATTGATATTTTATAAAATGAGGCGTTTTACGACTTGATCAAAATTATAAGACCAGAGACATAAATTTTTTCTACGAAATTGTACGAAAAGTGTGCGGAAAACATTCAACAACGAAATTTAATAATGAGTTCTACCTCCACTGGTTTTGATGACTTCAAAGATTCATTAGGGCATGCAAGAAATTAGTGTTTCCATTAAGCTGCAAGGCGTGAAATATTATCCAACTTCTGAAGATAGCTTCACGATGTTCATTTTTATTTGAATATTTTTGCCATTTCGATAAACATCTCTTGCTATCCATCCCCAAACATTTTCAATTGTATTTCAAGCCCGGTGAGCATGCTGGATTTCTCAAGAGATGGACCCCATTTTCTTGTAGAATGGTCAAGGTCCGACATTAGCGTGGATTGCAACATTATCCTGTTGGAATAACCATCCACCCACACACAAACGATGGCCCTCCGTCACCAACGATGCTTTTTGTAGCATGCTAAGAAATCCAGCGGCTGTCTGACGACCCTGCACCACCTGGATTTCCATCGTCCCTCTGTAAGAAAAGGCACCCCATACCATCAGGTTTTTTACCCCTCCATCACTATGACGTGTGGAGAAAAATTTCAGGAGGCATGTTTTTTGTTATGCCAGTAGATTTGGAAGCCACCAGGACCATCTAGATTGAATTTTTTCTCATCAGAAATTTTCTTTTTCTTCCACTTGTCAATGTCCCATGTTTGGTATTCACGACCAAACCTTAAGCGGTTCACTTTTTGACGTGGAAGCAGACGAGGAATTATTTGTTTTTATTTTCCATGTTTTTGTAAAAGTGTCGCCTGATGGTTATATGGATATGCAATCAGCATCTTATATATGCCTTAATTTGACTAGAAGAAAGTTCACTGGTTTTCACAACAACCCGTCTTATTCTCCTACTCAATGCCAGAGAAATTTTTTGAGTCTACCAGTAAAGACTTTAGTGTTTCCATAATTGCATGTCCTTTAGAAAGTTGCAAATCACAAGTTTACTGCGATTTATTAGCTGCGATCATAATATCGTGACAAACGTTGATTATGTAAATCTAGAATTTAAGAACGCTCAACTTAGGTAAGTCTTTTTATATAGGCATAGTGACACCTTTCATCAGTGATTGCTAATCCCTAACTGAACTAAAACATTGGAATTACCCTAGATCTAACAATTTATACCCCGATAAAACGCCTCATTTTATAAAAATGTCAATTTCTTAATAAAATGTTTGGATTATAATTTTTTGCCTATATAACCTTTTTTTAGATTATAAAATTAGTAACCTTCCAAGTAAGAAATGTTTAAAATTTCTCCATGAAAAACGATTTTTAAAAATAATTTTCAAGTGGTCTTGATTGTTGCATGTTGTTGCTTAACGTAGGTACCTTTTTGATCAGGAGTGTATGTGTTGCTTAACATATACCTTTTTTCAGATCAATCTCCACTAATCCACGTTCACGGTATGATATGCCTGTGCTAAAAGATTTTCAGATCAGAATGTGAATGGTATTCTAAAACTGAAAATGCCTGTCTATATTTCATGAGACATTCCAACCACTTTGAAGAAGGTCGGAGCGTAACAACGGAAGCCGAAACGTTGTGATAAATATGGCAACAAAGATGATAGTCCGAATAATGTAAATAGCCTAAAAATTGTTTTGCGACTTTTATTTGGCATCAAGAATACAGTCAAGACTCTCCGGACATCATCTTTGCATTCGGTAAACAACTTCTGCAGAAACCTGCTTGTTAAGTATAATATTAAGAAAAAATATATTTGCCACTACGGAAAAGTAAAATGTATCCTATCCCCAAACCGCCATAAAATATCTACTACTGACTGATAAATAACAATTATGATTGATTGATTCGATTTTTTGATTAACAAACCCAAAGGTTATTTAAACCCAGAAAATATATATTCAGTCCGACTGTCAGAGTTGACTGCTGGCAACTTCCCTCTCCAAAAGGCAGTACCTGCTCCTATTTATAACTGGGGGAATCCATGCGTGTGTGGGTAAATTACTATAACAATAACAATCAGTATATAAACTGATCCCTCACTTTATGGCCAAGGTAGTTTCTATATATTTAAATTCCAGGGTATGTAAATAAATCTAGAAGACAAGCATGTTTAGATAATCAGTATTTCAGCAATTGATTGATTAATTTTTACGGCTTACCAACCCTTTGCAGATTATTTAAAGCTAGAAAATATTTTTAGATTGTAAGATTTTTTTTTAGATAATATTGGTTTCGTGAAACAACTCTTACTAATTAACCCATAATTGGGGAGAATAAGTGGATTCATACCATTCCCAAGTGTGCGTAAGGAAATATAACGAACCTAAGAGAAATTGGAACTTGACTGTTCTTCGATTAACAATTCCGAGCTATTATAGCACCTGTGCATTCAAATT